AAATCCTTGGTCTCTTACCTTGGAGTTCTCCTCGTCCACTCTCGTGAAGCAGCTCCATTAATTGATTATAGAGAATTCTGTCATCAACTTGTAGGGGTGTTAAAAGAACATATTTATGATAACTTTCTCAGCAGTTAATTTATAGGTAGGCAAATGTAATTACAAGAATAAATTATTAGTCATTAGGGTTATTTAGTTCTATTATGGATAATAGACACAAAATCTACTCAGTATGCTTCCTTGCTCTGGAAAAAGAAAACAAAAAAAAACCTTTTTAAATCAATGATAATTGGAAGAATGATTTTTAAATGCATATTGCAGGGTATGCATAATAGGCTACTTCTCCAATAAAAAGGATCTCATATTCAATGGGTTGTGACATCTATTGCACAAGGATCATTTCCAAACAAGCCATTATGGTTTGTCAAATCAGACACTAGAATATATAAGCATTTAGTCAAAAAGAATGAGTGTTTTCCATTAGCTACAATCTATATAGCATACTTTTTAGTAGATTTATATAAGAGCCAACAAATCTAGAGGGTCCTGGATTTTTTTTTTTTTAATGTATGTTTTTGTGATATAATTGCAAATGCAAGGGTTTCTTAGTTCTTTTGTGAATTTAAAGCAATGAGGCCACATCATATGTATCTAACTATACATATATACATATATACGTGCATATGTGTGTGTGTGTACGTGTGTTGCTGTGATGCTGGAAGCTATGTCACTGGTATTTTAAATACCATAAGGGTCTTCCATGGTGGACAGGTTTCAGCAGAGCTTCCAAACTAAGACAGACTAAGAAGAAAGGCTTGATGATCTGTGTCTGAAAATCAGCCAATGAAAGTTTTTTGACAAAACAGAACATTGTCTGACTCGCTTTCTTTGGACATGTCATCAGGAGGGATCAATCACTGGAGGAAGACATCATGTTTGATGAAGTAGAGGGCCAGCAAGGGCAAAGGATGCCCTCAATGAGATGGTTTGGCACAGTAGCCACAATGACGGACTCAAACATGCCAGCAATCAGAAGGATGACACGGGACTGGATAATGTTTCCTTCTGTTGTCCAGAAGGTCACCATGAGTCAAAGCTGACTCAACAGAAGTGCTTTCTCTCTATATATATACACACACACACGCACATATACTATTCCAAATACATGGCTCTGGAAAAGGTTTAAAGGATCAGCTAGGTGGATCTCATGCCACTAGATAAAACCAAACATAAATCATGCCAGGCTGGATGACCATCCCAGTCTTAGAATTAAAACACACATACATATATCAAGCATATCCCCCCTCCCATAGGAGGCAAATGAATTACACTGTGCCTATACTATTACTGTGGTGACTTTAATATGGCCCATGAATTCCTAGTACTCATCACTTTGCACTCCATGGGTAGGCCAACTCTAAATGTGGCTCTGAGTTGGGGTCAGAGACACATTTTGAAAACATCAAGGTGGTGATTCTACAACTTAAATCTAAACTACCAGCAAGTATTCTAGATGAGCATTCTGGGGCCTTCAGTCTCCAAATTAGAGCTCCCGAAAACTCTAGATCCCCTACTCTATCCATACCTGAAATCCTTCCTATATCAGTGTTGGACAAAATCCAATGTAGTCTATACTCATGGGTTTGAAATAATTAAGCAGTAAAGTGTAGGCTGCTAGAGCCAGGCAGAATATTTGAGGTCTATGAAGTTAGTAGCTTCTGCTGATGATACGTACAGAAGACTTTTTCAAGTACCAGTTGACCTGGAAATGTCCTGTTCCTGCCGGAGCCAGCACGCACCTCCTACCGCCTCAACCTTCAGGGAAAGGGGAGGGAAGCAATTCCTGGAAGACGTTTTGCAGATTACGCATTAGGGAAGCATGGACCTTGGTTCCAGCGCTGCCCAGATCTTTACAACTCTTAATAGGAGAAGCTACAAAACTTATAAAGCTTATATATGGCTCATAAAAGAATCTTATTTGGAAGTTACATTGAACACTAGCGGATGCAGAGATGGATAATTCTCTGCAGATGTAATAAAAGCCCCAATATAAGGATGTGATAATCCTGAGAGAGACCAATGAGGGTCACAGAAAAAAATAAAAGAACATACATTTAGGGTGCTAAAACGAAGAGACAAACAAGTGGTAAACAGGATTAGGAGACAAGAGCGTAGATTGGTTTGGTATGAACCGAACACGAGGTCAAATCCCAGCTTTGCCGCATACTAGTTCTCTAAGCTTGGAGCAATTTCTTAGCGTCCCTTGGCTTTAATTTAATCCCCTTGCCCATCAGAAGGGATGGTTGGGAGGGTTAACAAGATAACATGCGTAAAACACCTAGCTTCGTCCTGACACGTAGTAGGCACTCAGCAAAGGGCCACCACCCTCATTTGTTTGTTACTTTGTAATTGTATGACATGCATACTCTTTCAAGTTGGAGTTCCGTCATTCTGAACTAATATTTTTGTTCTCATTATGAAGTACTGAGTTATAAACAACTCTTTGTGGATTGTAATGAGAGGCACATGAATCAGAGGTACCGAGGAGCAGGGGTTAAGAGCTTGGCTGCTATCGAAAAGGTCGGCAGTTCCAATCCATCAGCCGCTCCTTGGAATTAATGAATGAGTAAATGAGTTGACAGTGTTATGCATAGTATCTGGCACATGGGAAGCCTTCTGTAGGCATTAGCTAATATTAGTTACCTAGCGTTCTAGGCCACCACCCGTCTGTCAGTTCGTTGTGCTGTGGTGGCTTGCGTGTGGCTGTGATGCTCGAAGCTATGCCACCAGTATTTCAAATACAAGGAGCAGCTCCAGTTCAACAGCAGCTAACAACGGTGTTCAAGGAGTGTGTTGGGCTGGATATAGTAACTCTGACCACACAAAACCGTACTAAGTAGATGTTATTATTCCCGTGTTAAGATGAAGTAACAAGCTCAGAAAGATTGAGTGTCTTTCCTAAGAACACACACAGATCTGGTGGGTGTGGAGTCTACGATATCCTACTCTTCCTCCATGGCCTTGCACCTGCTGGTTTTCTCCACTCTTTCCTTTCAGGCAACTTTTAAAGGGGGAAGGAAGCCAGTTAATTCAGGCTGTAGCAAGGGGTTTTCTCTTGCCTTCAGCTTCTGTGTTATGTAACCTCTTTGGTTCTCCAGGGATGAGTCTTATGGGGGCATCTTTGAGACATTCTGCTGACCAGATCTGCCTACCTGAAGGACCAGAACTTCTACAGCAATAGTCTTCTCGATTGCAATCATCCCTATTGTCATCTCAGCAATAAACTTTGTAAACTGTAGAGTACTTTGTAAACTGTAAAACATGTCTCTTGCTATGCAGCTTATAAGGAGCAGTGTTGAACTGTTCTTTTTTTTTTTTATATAACTTGCCATCTTTTTTTTTTTTTATAACTTGCCATCTTTTTTTTTTTTTATAACTTGCCATCTTTTTTTTTTTTTTATTGTAGTTCAGGTGAAGGTTTACAGAACAAATAGTTTCTGATTAAACAGTAGTACACCTATTGTTTTATGATATTTGTTAACAACCCCACGACATGTCAACCCTGTCCCTTCACAATTTTTATTTATTTATTTATTTTTGGTGAAAATACACATAGCCAAAGATCACCATTTCAAAAATTTCTACATGCATGGTTCAGTGACATTGACTATGCTCTTCCAATTGTGCTGCTATTCTCACTTTAGATGAAGGTTCACAGAATAGTTTCTCATTAAACAGTTAGTACACATGTTGCCCTAAGACAATGGTTAGCAACATCACTACACATCAACACTGTCTTTACTTAACCTTGGGTTCCCTATTACCAGCTTTCCTGTCCCCTTCTGCCTTCTAGCCCTTGTCCCTGGACTGCTGTGCCTCATTACTCCTGTTTTGTTTTATGGGGCTGTCCAATCCCCGGCTGAACTGTGAACCTCGGAAGTGACTTCACCACTGATGAAAGGGTGTCTGGGGGCTGTACTCTAGGGGTTTCTCCAGTCTCCTTTAGGCCAGTAAATCTGGTCTTGTTTGTGTGTGTTAGAATTTTGTTCTACATCCTTCTCCAGCTCTGTCCAGAACCCCCTGTTCTGATCCCGGTCAGAGCAGTCAGTGGTGGTAGCCGGGCACCATCTAGCTGTACTGGACTCAGTCTTGTGGAGGCCTTGGTAGCTGTGGTCCATTAGTCCTTTGGACTAATCTTTTCCTTGAACACTCTCCCTTGCTCCCGAAGGGATGAGACCAGTGGAGTATCTTAGATGGCTGCTCACAGGCTTTTAAGACCCCAGATGCTACTCACCAAGGTAGAATGTAGAACATTGTCTTTATAAACTGTGTTACGCCAATTGAGTTAGATGTTCCCCGAGACCATGGTCCCCACAGCCCTCCGCCCAGCAATTCAGTCCCTCAGGGAGTTTGGATGTGTCTATGGGGCTTCCATGACCTTTCCTTGTACAGGTTGTGCTAGCTTCCCCTGTATTGTGTACTGTCTCACCCTTCACCCAAGATGAACTGTTCTTTTATAACCACAATTAGATTGAGGAATATACGAGAAGAAATTATTATGGTACTAGTGCACCTTCATGGTTCAAAAGTTAGGTGTTGGTTCCATGCATTCAACGAAAGGAATTCAATAGTCAAGTGTAAGCAAATCTCATGGGTTGCATGCATTTGACAGAAGAATGCTCATTTCAAATCGAAGGGCAGGGATGCATTTGTAAAGCAATGCTACTCCTCATCCACATAACATGGGCCTTGGAATGGCACCACACTGCTTACAGAGCATCAAATGAAAGCAGATTCCTGCTCCGTTCCTCTGACCAGCTTTCTGTCCTTGATCAAAAATTACCTTTGCTGTCCATCATGTTATTAGTGGTTAAAACTTACCATTTAAATTGTAAGCTGTAAAATCTAAACGGAACTGCATGTGTGATCTTTGTCACCTCATTTTCATGAATGGAAAAGAATATTCTGACACAAAAATTACATACTTAATTCTAGCTCACCCTCTCTGCTGACCTCCATCCCACACTGCCTTGGGTTTATTTCCTCATCCATCAGTGGGTCAAAGTAATTTCTGCTGCATTCATTTCCTGTGGAAAGTACATGCAGTAAGGGTCAGTGATTATTAGAAGCACATGAACCGAAATGTTAATTTTGAAATCGACACCAGCACAGAAGAGCCATTTTAGCTACTTTATAAGCTTAATTTTTTTACAAGTCTTCCAAGCCTCCCTTTTTTTGTAATTATCATCCAGCAAAAGGTCAGAAAAGGTCATTCAAGAAACAAGTTCACACTATCTTTCGGTTGCTAAAATGAATGAGAAAATAATCAAATGTAGACTTTAGAAAAATAATAATAATAAAAAACTCAAGTCAAATTGTGCTAAGGATATGCTCAAGGATTGCACGTTGTTGGATAATGAAAACGTTTAGAGTTCCCTGATGAGACTATTTCCTTATTTGTATTTCACTAAGTATATCATGTTGTTGTGTCCAGAATTCTGTAGCCAGCTTAGCAGTGTCTTAATTATGAGAAACTCTAGCAATATTTCTACGATGGGAATTGAATGGAAAGAAAGGAAGAGAGAGAAGCCTGCTTGCTGGTCTTTTTTGTTGTTATGTCAATTTAAATAACATGAAGGGAAGATGCTTTATCTAGAAATGTTATTCAACACACATCAACAATCTCAGCAACACAAACCAAAAGTTCTCATTTCGCTGCTCACTCACTCTATCCTTATCTTGATGACTAAATTGTAGCATCGGGTATGGCTTTGCAACAGAGAAAAAGGTCTGTTATCAATTTTCCAAATCTAGTTTCATACTTCCTGCAGACTGAAACGTATATGTCTGTTGCTCGTAATTTGCATCCAGCCAAATGTAACCTATTCTGACGATAATTCAAGTTGCCTAAAACACTGCAAAAGAAATACAGTGTTTTGGACTGAAAGCAGCAATGACTTTGAAAGTATTGCTCACAGGGAAGGGTTAATACATACCAGGTAGACTGGGATACTCCATAGTATATTTGTTTTAGGATCAGAAATAATCCAAACAGCAGCTCCTTTTCCAAGGCTAAATGAAATTTTGATACGAACCTAGGTTTAATTTATATTTCTAGACTGGCACATTTTTGCTGTCAGTCTCTGGTCTAGCAATGTAGTAAGCACCAGAACTGAAAATCTGCTTTACCTTGAGGTCTCAATAAAGAAAAAATAAATGAGTTTCATTTTTGTTACTTTATCTGTCAACAACTACTAGGCTGGTATGAATCTTGGCAGTATGTAATCAAAGTCTTCTGTACTGCAATAACACAGCCATTCTACCTCATTCACTGTAATTGTTTTGTTTGGGTTTTGTTTTTTTTTTCCAACCTCTATCACAAAGCACTGTGATACTCTAAGTACTCTCTTCCATATGCTGGCAAAATAATTCACCTATGTTAAAGCAGAAATGGTAGTCTATTCCCTTATTAAAGTGCCATCGCAGCGTCAATCAGCTCCTGTGCAGACATCCCAGAAACACCCTAAATCCAATACAAAACTCATGTTCTTCACTTAGTGAAATTACTTGTTAGTAAGTAATACCAAACCAATCAAGACCCTGGAGAGGGAAACAAAGTGAAGGTATTTTTACTAAAAGTCTAGAATGAGTTATTTGGTTTTTAGGGGCTGAAATCACTTTCTTCTCTATCATTAGTTGAGAACTAGGAGTCTTGTATAGCTGTGCATGAAGGAGGCCTGTAAGCGGAAGTCTTCCCAGACTGAGAAGTCTGCCCTCAGGGCTTCATGCTTCAGCACACAGCTCAGAGATACCATGTCTGTTGTCATTGAATTGACTCAACTCATAGTGACCGAAGGTGTGTTCGAGCAGAGCTGCTCCATAGGGTTTTCAATGGCTGCTTTTTCGGAAGCAGATCTCCAGGCCTTTCTCCTGGGGCATCTCTGGGTGGACTTGAACCCCCAAGCTTTTGGTTGGTTTGGTTAGCAGCCGAGTGCATTAACCATTTGTACCATCCAGGGACTCCAACTAGAGATTTAAAACAAAACAAAACAAAACAAAAACCCGTTGTCGTCGAGTCGATTCCAACTCATTGCAACCCTATAGGACAGAATAGAGCTGCCCCACAGGATTTCCGAGGAGCAGCTGGTAGATTCGAACTCCCAGTCTTTTGGTTAGCAACTGAATGCTTAAACACTGCACCACCAGGGCTCCAGAGATAGACCCCCTTAAAGTTCTAGGTATGATTTTATAATCTGCATAAATTGCTCCTCCCACATTCAGCGTAGGTTGCTGGATACATGTAAGTTATGAACGCCACTTCCGG